GAGCTAGAGGGGGCGCCCGGGCGGGAGGTGGGGTGCGGGGTTTGGAGGGCTGCAGGGTGCCTCCCGGGCGGCGTCGGGAGGAGCAGGGTGCCCTTGGGCCAGGGCTGCACCAGGCACACCCCGGCGGTTAGATAACCGCCTGCACACCCTCGCCAGAGCCGCAGGTACAGCCCAGCCAGGCTGGAACAGCCGCATGGACCGGGCCCGCGGAGGCCGCGTGGAGCGAAGTCCCTCTGGGCAGGGCCCTGTCCTGGCTTGGACCCCCAGCTCCCCCTCCCTCAGCCGTGCTGGCTCCCCCCAGGCTTTGTCAGACCAGGCAAGGTGACGGCGGTGCCGAAAGCTGCCCCTGGGTTTTGCCTGGCAGCTGCACACGCAGAGCCCTGGGCGTCCCAGCGCCGTTATTTGGAGCGAAGACATACGAGGCGGGACACAGGCTCGTCCCCCGTCTGCGAGGGACCCCAGAGCACAGAGCCAGCTGCCAAGGCTGGGTTGTTTTTCCCTGCAACGTGAGCCCTGGGAGCCTCCCCATGACGAGTCGGTTACACATCCCCTCACCAGGGAGAGCAGATGGAGCTGCCGGGACACCCAAGATTTCCGGAGCTCACTACACCCAGTTTAATCACTGCGAGGGCTGCGGGGTGACTCGCCTAGATTAGCAGGGCGTGCTGATGAGGTTGAGGAAGAAAGTTCCCCATGGTTGTGGTGTGTTTTGCCTGCTTGAGCAGCTGGTGCCTGAGGAGGGGCAGCCCCCCCAGCGGCTGCGGGGAGAGGGGGCACTGGCGAAGCTGCCTCCCTCCTTGCTCAAGCAAGAATAATGAGTTCAAGCAGCAAAAAGAAGCCTTTCTGACAGCCCAGGCAGCACGGGTAACTGGGTGTTTGACCGGCCCCAGGAGCCCCGTGGCGGGGCAGTGGCCGTGCCACCGCTGCCCAAGGACGGCTGCCAGCAGCTCTCCAGCAGCCGCCGCAGCAGAGGCTGGTCCCTCCCGCAGGCACCCCCCGCCAGCAGCCCCAGTGCTTTTGAGCAACGTTTCAGGCTTCTGAAAAGGGTCTCCCGGAGTTTTGGATGAGGAGGGTCATTAGCAATGTTGAAATTGCTACTCGGGGAACTCCCCCTCCCAGTGCCATGCTCCCTTTTCCTCTCCCAGGACGTCTCTCTCCCCTTTGGCAAGAGCTCCTCTGGGTGCAAGAGGAGCAGCAAAGCCCGCTGCCCCGTTCCAGGAGAGGGCCTGGTGTGGCCCGGAGGGTTTTCCCTCTGTGCAAGGGCGAGCAGTGGACACGGGAAGCTCAGGGAGGGGGCAGCAAGCAGAGCATCTTTAGAAAAGGGTGTCTGTCCAAAACCAGACTCAATGAGCTAACCCTGGGGATGTTTGAGGTGAGTTACAGGAATGTCAGACCTTCTAGACACACCAACAAGCTCCTCAGAGCACCAGCCTAGATGTTTCCCTTCTGAGACCACGGGCACGTCCCACCTCCAGCCCCTCAGTGTTATGATGATGGAAGATGAAGCACAAGAGGCTGTTTCCCTGCGTTTCAGAGGTGCCAAGGGTGGGGAGAGGACGGGAGCTGCCGCGCAGAGGGTTCTGCCTCTGCAGAGCTTTGGGCATTTCAGAGGGACCCTGTACACCTGCACTCTCCCCTGCGTCTTCCCTTGAGCGTACAGCACCACGTCCCAGGGCCTGAAACCTTCTGAAGCAGCAGACGGTGCTCCATGCTCTTCTCATGGCTCCAAGGGACAAACAGCACGAGGGGGGACTAGATACTCTTCCTCCCCTCCTCAGACCTCCATCTCCCCGCCATACACCTGCCCACACAGGCAGCGTATCTGCAGGGCTCTGCGGAGCCGCCACGCTCTCATCCCAGCGCTCTGCTCTGCTCTTACACAAGGACGGACCCTCAGGACCCGGGTTTTGGTTTCGCAGCATCTCTTGATGCTGACCCAAGTCACGGTGCTTCCACCTTGCTGACTGTCAGCGGCTTAAGAAAGTACCGTGGTACCACAGAACCTCGACCGACGCGCCGCCGGCGATCATCCTCCCGAGCCCTCCGCAAAGCGCTGCCTCCAGCTAGTCACGCTCCTCGCTACCACGTGGCGTTTTTATTGCCTTGAAGTCTCATCGCTTTGCCCCAGAGAGCCTCCCAGTGAAAAGCAGGGTGCACACACGCAGACACGCCATCACCGCCTCATTTCTACCGGCTGAAGTCACTCCAGGCAGAGTGAACGGAGCATCTCGCACCACTTGTACGGACGCACAGTCAACAGACATCACTGGACATCTTAAAGAGGCTTCAAACTCTGGGTGAGTAAGGAAGGTAATTGCTAATAAAATGAACGCCACAGACTACTGAGATAAGTCCAAGCCCTTAGCTTGAGCAATAGGAATAATCCCGTGCTGTTTCTCACAGAACCTCCAGCAGCCTTCCCCACCCAGGATAAACACCCCTCGGTCTCTGCCAGGCAGCAGCATTGTTCAGGCAGGAACTACCATGTCTTGGCTTATTTGAGATCTCTGCAGCAGATTTCTCCCAAGGCACAAGAATAATCACCAGCTAAAGGCAAAGCAGCAGCAGAAGACAGAGAAGTGATGGGAGAGAGGAACTGACACAAACTGCAACTAACATGAACACGGAGGGTTGAAGGAAAAAAAAAAAAAAGGACTTGAAAGACACAGAAAAGGCAGCGATGGCCCTTGAAATCAGCACTCAGCAGGTACCTGCGCTGCAGCGGCTCGTCCCCTCTCCTGCGCACCGCTCTTGCTGTAACACTCCAACGGCACCTTGAGCTCCTAAAATCAGCACAAGGGTGAGTCTGTGCAAGGACTCAGTCCTCTGGGAGCCTTGGATTTAACGGGAGCCCAGTCCCTCCCACCTGGGCTGAGCTCTGCTCGCCGCCCCTCCGTGCGCAGGGTGCAGCCCTGCTCAGGACAGGTGTGATGCAAGAGGGAAGGCCCAGACGCCGCGATCCAACGCGGAGCTGGCGAGGGGCCCGGCTGCCTCCCAGAGCCGCTGGCACAGGAGGGCTGAGGGCAGGGACCTGCTCACGGAGCGGCTCGGTGACTTGCAGCTGGTGCGGAGCAAGGTAACGCTGCTGGGAGCAGCTGAGGATTTGGTGCTCCGGCCGCTGAGGGCCAGGGCTGCGCTCTGCCCCTGCAATCCCCCCGGGTCAGCGGGAGCCCAAAGCCCGCACCCAGCCGGGCACCGGCCCCACGCAGCTCGGGGAGGGAGAACGGACTGGGACCGTGCTTCAGCCTCGTCGGCTGTAGGCTGGGAAAATAAATGAAGAGGGAAAAAGCACAGGGCTCCCTCCTCTCCGGCGGGGGTGACAGGCTGTGGTTTCTCTCTGCTCCTCTCCAGAGGTATCTGTGGCTCCGTGGCACAGAGGGCACCCACAGACCGGGGTGGGGAGGAGCCAGACGAGGTCGCAGCCCGGCCCGCTGGCACTGCCTCGGTGCCAAAGGTGCTGCCTTAACGCCTGACGTTGGCCCAATTCGGCGCAAAGGGAAAGAGCTGATCTCCCACACGTCTGGCTGAAGGGCGGCTGTCGTCTGCCGAGGCTGCTCTGGCCTGAGCTAAAAAAAGATGCAGGTCTGCCCACACCCTCAGCACAATTTCCTGGCTGGTGTATTACACGGAGCAGATTAAAAAATATATCTAAAGGCAACCGTGCCTCTAACTTGAGCTTGTGGAGTGTCCAGCCCGGAGCAGCCAGGCCTGGCTGCTGTGTTTAGCTTTGGGAATGATCATAAATAATCCCCCAACGTCTTTTTGGATCGCTGTACGTTTTGGCTCAAGGGTTTCTTCCAGTTTCGGTGGGCACGGAGCCACGCAGCAACCTCTAAAATCATATATCTGAAATGCCCTTTTGCAAAGGAACAGCCTATTCTGCTGCCCCTAAATGCTTCTGGCTTACCACAACATTGCCGCACCGCTAAGGGACGCTTTGAAACGTCCGATTTTGTCAGGAAATGCACCAGATAAACTCATTTCCTTTAAATTCTTTGATCTCA